CAGAGCAGCCGGTGGCCGGAGGCAGAGCTTGCAGGCAGCATGGCGGGGCTGCGCATCAGGCGGGGCTCCGGGCTCAGGCTACTGGCTCTGTCCGCGCTTGGATTCTGCCTGATGCTGCAAGTCAGTGCCAAGAGGCCCCCCAAAACGCCCCCCTGTCCACCCAGCTGCTCTTGCACCAGGGACACGGCCTTCTGCGTGGACTCTAAGGCAGTGCCCAGGAACCTGCCGGCCGAGGTCATCTCTCTGTGAGTGCCCAGCCCTGGCCCAGGGGGTGGTGAGCCAAGAGGGGGAGGACGGCAAGGACCACTCTGGGAGTGGATGGGGAGACCCCATTCCCCCTCTGCGGAGTGTGGGGACCAGGAGGACTCCAGGGTAACCTCCGGACCGGAGACTCAAGGTATCAGCCAGGCAGGGACTTCTGCAGTCACGCAGGCTCAGCAGCCATGGCTGGGGAAAACAGGACTTCGTGGCCAAGAATGAATCATCACCACCAGCAGCATTAATGAGACCTACTGTGCGCAGGCCTCTGGACTTGGAGGGAGGGGGGTTGCTTACCCCAGCATGTGGGCCCTTGCCTGTGATGTCACATCAAGGGCAAAAAGGCTTCTAGTGGGGGGAGGGAGGGGAGCAGCCGGGGAGGGTGAGATACACCCACACTGCACCCTGGCACGGGGCAGGTGCCTGTCACTGGTCTCGCCAGCCACTCTGCACCCAGCCAGTCAGACTGTCACTTGCAGCAGTGGCCTCCTGGACCAGATCGGCTGTGTGGTCCTTGGGAGCAGGATGCTAATCCCTATTCCCATTCGAGGGCCCCATGGCTCAAGAGCACCCAGCACACTGTGGGTGTTTGGATGATCATGAAAGTGTGGCTAATGGAAGCTTCTTTTGGCTGAGGGGAGCTAAGCCTGTGGCCGGTGGTGCTCAGGGGGCAGTAGGGGAGGTAATGAAGAAGGCAGGCGGTGAGAAGGGGAAGACGGCCTCAGGTGGAGGACTGACGCAGGTGTCCCCTGCAGGACGCTGGTGAACGCTGCCTTCTCGGAGATCCAGGACGGAGCATTTTCCCACCTGCCGCTGCTGCAGTTCCTGTATGGACAGGGCCTTGTGGGAGGTGGGGTGGCTTGGGGAGGGGCAGTGAAAGGGAACAGGCAGATTCTGGAAATTAAGATGCAGGCGTCCCTACGTTTGCCCTGATGGATATGCCACAGAGGTGGAGCTGCCTGGGGTCAGGAAGGGTGGAGGAGCAGTGGTTGGGGAGGAGGGAAGGGATTGCATGCAAAAGCCAAGATGTGGGTATTTAGGGCCCAGTTAGGAATGGACTTGCCTCCTCTAGAGACCCAAAGGAACTGGGTGCAATAAATTGGGTGGGTGCCAGAGAGTGGACACTGCAGGGGAGAAGGGTCATCTTAGAGACAGGTGCCCCTAGGGTTTGAAGAAAGAGCTGGGAACCGAACTGAGGGAAGACTATAGAGCCTGGAATTCTAAAAGGGTTTTTTATATTTGAAGCCCTAGTCACAGGAGAGAATACACTAGAGTTGCCCCACCTCCTTCTCACCATCAGCCCTAGAGGGACTGGACAGAGCCTGGGTGGGAGTGGGACACAGAGCAGAGATGCCGTGGGGTAGACCCAGCTTGCCAGGAAAGATCTGCCCTGGCCGTTTTTACCCTGAGAGCCTTCAGGGACCCTGGGAGTTTCTGGGACCAGAACAGCTTCTGCCTGGTCTTGCTGCCTAGGCTGCTCTGAGGTTCTCCGCTGGGGTCCCAGGGTGGGAAGCAGGGCAGCCAGGCCTTGAAGAAGCCCAGGGGTGAGGCAGCAGGCACACCCTTGGAAGCTCTAACTCTGTCTTTGTCTCTCCAGGTTACTCAATTCCAACAAGTTTACGCTGATCGGAGACAACGCCTTCACAGGACTGTCGCACCTGCAGTACCTGTGTGTGGGAAGGAAGGGGAAATGGAGAGTCGAAGGGAGGACGGGAAGGGCTTGGGTGGGCTCAGAGACGAGGTTGAATGAGGAAGGCTGGGGGCATTGAGAGCCCTTGAATCCTCTGACTGCAGGACCGAGCAGAGCAGAGGTCACTTCATCCATCCCCCTGCCTGAATGGTCCTGCCTGGATGCCTTGTCACCACAGGCTTCAGGTCACCACATTAGGAATAAAAGCCTGTCTGAGGGCCATGGGCGGGGATCTAGGCACGGTGTAGGGAAATAGGTGGTGGTGGTGGGTGAGGGCCAGGGATCCTGAGTGATGGCTGACACTGTTCTCATTTCCTCCAGCTTCATTGAGAACAACGACATCTGGGCACTATCCAAGTTTACTTTCCGAGGACTCAAGTCTTTAACACACCTGTGAGTACATCCCACACATACATTCATTCATTGGACCAACCCCCCCTCTTGCCCCCTCCCCCCCACACACACACCCATCTCTCTCTCGTGGCCTTTGGCCTCAGTCACCATCTTCAGGTGACCCACGGGTCTCTCTTGCAGCTCACTGGCCAACAATAACCTGCAGACACTGCCTAGAGACATCTTCCGGCCCCTGGACATCCTGAGTGACTTGTAAGGCCTGAGTCCTAGCTCTTTCGACAGTGCCACAGAGGGGCATGTCCCGGGAGGGAGGGGTGTGGGAGCCAGCATTGGGAAGATCATAAAGGCTTGAGAAGCTAGGAGGGCTTGGTTTTGGGGGGTGGGCTGAGCAGCTGAGAGCCTGTCCTCTCTTTGTCCCTTCCATCACTCTCATGATCAGGGACCTGCGGGGCAACTCGCTCAACTGCGATTGCAAGGTGAAGTGGCTGGTGGAGTGGCTGGCACACACCAACACCACGGTGGCCCCCATCTATTGCGCCAGCCCGCCCCGCTTCCAAGAGCACAAAGTGCAGGATTTGCCACTGCGGGAGTTCGACTGCATCACCACAGGTAGGAGGTGCCCCTGCCTCTGGCCTCAGGCTGCCCCTCCCCAAGGGAGCTCCACAGGCATCACCTGAACTCCCACCCCCCTGCCTTGCTCACTATGCAATCCTTATCACCCAACAAACTCTCACTCTTCCCCACCCCAATCCCTGCAGATTTCGTGCTGTACCAGACCCTGTCCTTCCCAGCGGTGTCAGCTGAGCCCTTCTTTTACTCCAGCGACCTCTACGTGGCTCTGGCCCAGCCAGGTGCCAGCGCTTGCACTGTCCTCAAGTGGGACTATGTTGAACGGCAGCTTCGAGATTATGATAGAATCCCAGGTACCTGTGCCCAGCCTGGCTGTGCTGGCCCCAGCTAGGGAGAGCGGGGGTGAAGGTGGGAGGCTCCATTGTTCTTCTCCATTGAGTTCCTATAGGGAGAGGGGTACATGAGACATGGCCTCGGCTCTTAAGAATGTTCTAGTCTTTGGAGGGAGGCTGATACATACACAGATAATATCCATATAATATGTCAGTGTAAGAGGAAGATATGAACACGATGCATTGGGAACACAAAGGAGAGGCTTACCCTGGGCAATCAAGGAAAGCTTCCTGGTGGAGGGGATGCCTACACTGAGTTTTGAAGGATAAGGGAGAGGGAGGAGTCAGAGGTGATGCCCAGGTTTCTGGCTTAAGTAAGTGGGTAGTGCCAATGAACTAAAAAGGAGGAGATACTGAGTTTAAACTGAGTCTAGAATGCTGAGGGAGACTTAACTAGGAGAAAAAATGTGGGAAGGATGTTCTGGTAGAGGGAACAGCATGAGCAAAGTCAAGGTGTGCAACAGCTTATTGTGTGAGTGCAGGCTGATAGAAGCAGCTTATATGACTGCAGCATAAGGTTCAAGGTGGACAGTGGCAGTCCTGAGAGAGATGAGGACAAGGTCATTGACAAGCTTCGAGAAAGTGTGTGAGCCAATCCAGTCTATATTTTAGACAACTCTCTGTGAGCCTTGTGGAGAGTGGCTAGGCATGGGACAAAACATGTGGGCAGACCAGTAGAGGGATCAGCTGGAGCCTGGACTGAGGCAGCAGCAGTGTCTCAGTTATATTTAGAAAAGAGGACTGAACTGACACAAGAAGAAACAGAAAATTTAAATTGCCCTATATCTATGACACAACTTGCAGTCATTATAAAAAAACAACAACACCTCCACCCAACACAAGATCAAAATGGTTTCCCTGGTGAATCCTAGCAAACACTTAAGGAAGAAATAACACTAATCTTACACAAATTGTACTAGAAAGCAGAAAGGAGTGTTGACAGAACTTGGGAATTGATCAGGAACAATGGGTGAATGAGGAACAAGGAAGTGTTGGGGATGGCTCCCAGGTTTCTGGTTGGGGTGACTAGGTGAAGCCACAAATTGACATTAAGTACACAGAAGGAGGGGGAGGAGCAGGTTTAAGGGTAGATGTGGAGCTAAGTTTTGGCCAGCTGGAGTTTGAGGTGCTTGAGGGTGTTTGGAGAGTCTGAGCTGCGGTGGCTCAGGAGTGGGTGGTCAGCAGCTGGGCAATCACCAGGAGCTGGGTGGGCAGACGAAGGCTGCAAGAGGGACTCAGTAACTGCCAGAGCCTGAGGCTGAGCATGGGCTTCCCTTGGGGAGCGGTGGAGCGATGGGGGGAAGGAGAGTGCGTGAAAGCGATGACTTGAGACACCAGGACAGGTGGGGAGTGTGGCCCATACCCTTTGGGTGCCTGGGAAGGGGTCGAATCAGTCTGGTTGAGCACACGTACATTTGTGCTCATACCTAAAAGCCTTTCAAAAGTGGGAGTTCTTGGGAGAATGTTCTTGAGCCATGGATGAGTTCAAACTCCCCCTCCTTCCCCAGCCTGGCCACTTGCCAGCGCATGGCTTTGGACAAGTCAGACAGTGAGCCTCAGATTCTTTCTGTGTGAAATGGCAAAATAATAGGGTGCATTCCAGAGTGACTAATTGGGGTAATATGTTCACACTTAGCACAGTGACTGTACACAATATAAATTCAATAATTAACACTATGGTTAAACAGTCAACACCCCCCTTCCCCAGCCTGGCCACTTGCCAGCACGTGGCTTTGGACAAGTCAGACAGTGAGCCTCAGATTCTTTCTGTGTGAAATGGCAAAATAATAGGGTGCATTCCAGAGTGACTAATTGGGGTAATATGTTCACACTTAGCACAGTGACTGTACACAATATAAATTCAATAATTAACACTATGGTTAAACAGTCAATGAATATCTAGGAACACCTATTTTGTGCTCCGTGTTAGTATATTTGAACCAGGGATTCAAGGGTGGATGGAGGGTGATGCTGACACTAACTGTGTTAGCTGTGAAGCGATTAGAGGAACTTCAGGGGGAGGGACTGCTGTGGTGGAGGGACGTGGCCTTGGCTGAGGGTCGGTGAGGACTGACCCTCTTTTCTGAGGCTGGGCATGGGCACGAAGCTACCTGTGTTGCCTGACGCTGCTTCCCTGTGTCCCGGCAGCCCCCTCGGCCGTGCACTGCAAGCCCATGGTGGTGGACAGCCAGCTGTACGTGGTGGTGGCCCAGCTGTTTGGTGGTTCTTACATTTACCACTGGGACCCCAACACCACACGCTTCACCAAGCTGCAGGACATCGACCCGCAGCGTGTGCGCAAGCCCAACGACCTGGAGGCCTTCCGCATCGACGGTGACTGGTACTTTGCCGTGGCTGACAGCTCCAAGGCAGGTGCCACCAGCCTCTACCGCTGGCACCAGAATGGCTTCTACTCCCACCAGGCCCTGCACCCCTGGCACCGTGATACCGACCTGGAGTTTGTGGATGGCGAGGGCAAGCCTCGGCTGATCGTGTCCAGTAGCTCCCAGGCACCGGTCATCTATCAGTGGAGTCGCACCCAGAAGCAGTTTGTGGCCCAGGGTGAGGTGACGCAGGTGCCTGATGCCCAGGCTGTGAAACACTTCCGCGCCGGGCGGGACAGCTACCTGTGCCTCAGCCGCTACATAGGGGACTCCAAGGTCCTGCGCTGGGAGGGCACCCGCTTCTCAGAGGTGCAGGCCCTGCCCTCCCGCGGCTCCATGGCCCTGCAGCCCTTCCTTGTGGGTGGCCGCCGCTACCTGGCACTGGGCAGCGACTTCTCCTTCACCCAAATTTACCAGTGGGATGAGGGGCGGCAGAAGTTTGTACGGTTCCAGGAGCTGGCTGTGCAGGCCCCTCGGGCCTTCTGCTACATGCTTGCTGGGGACGCCCAGCTGCTCCTGGCCCCCAGCTTCAAGGGACAGACGCTTGTGTACCGACACGTAGTGGTGGATCTTAGTGCCTAGCGGGGTGTCGAGGCTCTGGATTGGAGGAGGGGGAGCCTCTGTATGAGCAGCGTGGGTGCCTGTCTGTGTGAAGGCACATGTAGCTAACCTCATGCACACACACTCCTGGTGAGCATGGGCACCACATGGACTGGCCCCGGGAGCCGATCATCATCGTAATTAGCATGAGGACTTGTGTATGCACCTGGCAAGCCAGTTACTGGGACCCTCCCATCTATGGACGCCTGTGGATCCCACACCCCATCTGCAGGCCCCCCTGGATCTGCTGCCTTCCACAAGCTCTGGCCTGGGGAGGGGAGGGGAGGAGTGCTGGGAGGGAAGGTCTTGGGCTGATCCTTCTGACCCTCTGGTCTCTCCTGTTGGTGCTCCAGGGGTCTGTTCAACCTGCTCATGTCCCACATTGCAGCCACACGACATCCTTCCTACGGCGGGTACACTCACCCACCCTCCCCTCCTCCTGCATGCACATGTGGGATCTGGCCCACGCCCTCAGCCACACGCACACACACACCTGTCCACATCCGTTTCCCTGTGCACACATGCAGATCCGGCCCTGCCAAAAGGAAGCCGGCTCGCCTCCATTACCTGCCTGTCTTCTTGGAGAGGGCACACGACCGTCCTCCTCTGCTCACCCCTGGTGTGCCCACCCTGCGGCTGATAAGGATGGGAATGGTGGCAAAGCCCCTTTGCCCAAAGCAATAACAACAACAACCCTAGCAAACCCAGACGTCTTCCCTCCCAGTGCTGGCTCTTTTCTCGCTGGAGCGTTCTTCTCTGACCCTGTCACCATGGCGGGCAGACTACCCAGACAAAAGCCTTCCTGCTTTCCTTCCTGTAGCTGCCCCACCTCAGACACCCACCCTGCCCCCAGGCTCAGCCCCTCCTTTGCGATGTGGATGGACACTGAACTGTGCTGGATCCTTTGTCCAGGACCCAGAGCTGGCCAGGTCAGGGACCCTGCAAGCACTTGAGTCATCTGGGCAGGTTCCAGGAGTAGAGCCTGGCTGGAGAGCATCTTGGGGGCTCTGGCACCCCTCCAGGCCACAGAGGCACACCCCAGGGGCACTGCCTTTCAGGGCACACTGGGTGGTAGAGGTTTGAGGGCCTGCCCTGTGGAGTGGCACCTGGGAGCCAAGCTTCTGCTGCCCCCTGCTGTGTGCTGGGGATATAGCTGCGAGGTAGTGTGCTGGGGATAGCGGGTAGGAGGCAGGAGGTGGTGGAGCAGGCACGGGGAGGGGCTTCTGGTGGCAGGATGCCGGGGCTGGGGGGTATTGGGGCAATGCTATAATTCACTTGCTTCAAATAAAAAGTTCCCACCCCATTGCCAGCTTTCAGGTGTCCAGTGGCAACGGTCAGCTGTTTCATCAAGAACATAGCATGTTGTCTGTCCCTGCTGCTCGCAGGGGCCGGCGTCAGCTTTCAGACCCTGTTCCTCCCTGCCCCCTTCCCTCTGAGGAGTGAGTGGGCACGGTCTGCTGGTGCTGGGGTCAGGAACTCATGGTGATGACACCTGGGGCTGGGTGAGTGTGACTAGTCTTCACCACCTGGGGCTGACTCATGGCCCGAGAGCTCCTTCCTGGAGATCACAGTCTTGGGGTCACCAGAGTTTATCCCTCTGTCAGGTGAATTCCAATCAACATGACCAAAAACAAGCTTAGCGGTCCCTCCCCTCCCCACTTCCTCTGGGCCAGTGGTCGGCAAACTGCGGCTCGCGAGCCACACGCAGCTCTTTGGCCCCTTGAGTGTAGCTCGTCCACAAAATACCACGTGCGGGCGCGCGCGTACAGCGCGATTGGAAACTTCGTGGCCCATGCGCAGAAGTCGGTATTTTGTGGAAGAGCCACACTCAAGGGGCCAAAGAGCCGCATGTGGGCAAATGTCTGTCATCCCTGCCACCCTCTGCCCTGGGTGTGAGATTTCAAGCAAGTGGGCTGGTTTCCTGGAGCCTGAGTTTCTTCTGCAACACAGAAAATAAACCCGACTTTGTCCAATCCTGATTCGGCCACTTACCAGCTGGGTGACCTCAACCACGTCACTTGGCCTATTTGTATTTGTCTCCTTATCTGTAAAATGGGGATAGTCATAATACCTACCTGACAATGTTGGTGTGAAATGTAAATGCTTTCAATACATAGTCTATTGATGTTGGGGTCCTGCCCCAGCAGGTCCAGGAGTTCCCAAAGGTGTGGACGGAGTCGGCGATGAAGGAAGGACACAGAGACAGCGTTCAGTTGATCAGCATGGTTGGGTTCTCTCTTTATTGTTCTATTACATCTATATTTATACTATTTGATCCCATAAGCATGCCTCTATAATCACATCATGGTATGTTTTGGGTAACGTTCTACAGTTCCTTGTTTCTTATCTGACCTTAGCCAAAAATCCTGTCTCTATCTAGTTCTGTTGATTTTAATCTTGTCTAGGTTAATCTCTGTGTTCCATTACAAGGGCTATTCCAAGGTCACTGCTCTACTGATAGGCTACAAGGAAGTGACTGAAGGAGTTTATCCTATCCAGGAAAGATTATGTCCTCCCAGGCTCGCTGCTTGCCTTCTCTGGGACTGCCCTGTGTCGGTGGGTCTCCAGGGGTATAGGCTTTGGTGCTTTCCCTGCTGGGCAGACCCCTGGGGATGTGGCCCAACAAGTCCCAAATTTATTGCCAACAGTCTTAGTCCAAGTTCTTCAAAGTAGTACATGGTATTTCTGTAACACTAGGGGGATTTACTGATTTATTCTCTTCCTTAGTCCTGTTAACCCCTAACCTGGGGAAACAACCTTTCTCGGGGAGGTGGTCCTGGTTAAAACACATAGCGCTTAAGAGGGGGAGCAAACATATGTCATATATGCCAGGTCCCTTGAAACATAAGCTGTGCAGATGTTTCTTCCCCGCAGCGACTGCGTCAAGCAGCAAGGGTGGATCGGCTTCCAGCATATTGATATATTCAAGGCCCTTCGAAGAGTGTGTCTGCCACAGAAGTATACTTTTATTGGCCTGTAGGACTGTATGAGACCCAGGTGGCTCAGAGAGGCTGCTTTGTGGGAGGAGAAGCGTGCCTTTTGCCCTACATCTTACCTGTAGCCTCAGAGGCCCAGCCAACCCTGCCCCTGGCCACTCCTCACAACGGGGAATCTCATAGGTGATATGTGTGGGTTTCCACCTCCTCAAACCACATTCATGTGCTTCTGGCTTAGGAGACACCCCTCAGGTCCCCCAGCCACACAGTCGAGGGAACGCTTGTCCTGCATTTTCACGTGGGGAACGGGTCCTCGTGTTGTGCAAGGACAGGTTGCCAGGCAGAGTGCACTGCGTCTCCCAGACCCGTTGGCACTCTGTTGCCCAGTGGAAAGATAAACATCACTCTGGCGGTCATTCCCCCGAGCCCCTAGGGCTCCTCCCAAAGATGGAGACACTGTTCTCCCTGAGAGCCCTGCTCTCTACACCTACCCTGGGGGTCATCTGTGTGTCCAGAGAGCTGCTTAGCAACCCAGTGTAACCGGGTGATTGTGTCAACAGCTCAGGACCAAAGGCCGTGAGAGGGAGAGGGGTACATGAGTATACTTACTCTGCCAAAGCTGAGGAGGGTGACACCCCCCAGCTGCCAGCCTCGTACCCCTCCACACAGAGCCCTGCTCTCAGCAGCAGACTTCTCACATCTTGTCCCTTAGACTCCCCAAGCACAGTCATCAGGACCAGGAGTCTCCCTGTGAGAGACCGTCCTGAAGCATCTATCTTATATAAAAACTGCTGTTTGAAATTTTAACCCTGATAGTATGGCTTCTGTAAATGCTTGCTTGCTTGAAAAATAAGGAAAATAAGACTACTCCCATTCCAGAGAGGCTGTAAACTATGCCCCAGACAGAGTTGTCAGTGCTGACACCAGGCCAGGCCTTGAGATATGGTCTCATGGCCCCTTCCCAGCACGCAGGCCTTCTTTCTCAGAAGGCCCGGAAGTCTCATTCTAAATTTGGGAGACAAAGGACTAGAAAAAGTATAAATAAAGAGAGTTTCCTCCATGTTAGGGGGCCCAGAATTTGAAAGACACATTTTTCTCTGGGCCTGCACAGAATCTAATCTAATAAAAGGCAAAAAGGGTAATTAACTGTACCTCCGCTACACTTCCCATTGGCTAATCAGGGCGATATGCAAATTAACTGCCAAC